TACAGATGATCTTAAAGCATTTTATCCAACATCTGTTCTTGAAACCGGACATGATATTCTGTTCTTCTGGGTTGCTCGTATGGTGATGTTGGGAATGAAGCTGGGTGGTGATGTCCCGTTCAGAAAGGTGAGTGACCTTTCTGTACTTTGTAGGCAGCTGCTCATAAAAATTGAAAAACCATAAAAGTGGGAAAGTAACCTGGTTTATCATCAGAATGAAAAAAAAAAAAACATAAAATTGATTTTGGTTGCAAAACAAAAAAATGTCGTTACCAGCATCATTCACATCATGAGAAATGGGCTTTTCCTTCAGCAGCACAAGAAATGGAGGATAAGTCGACAGTGCAAGATGACCGAAAGCCTAGATGGAAGATGGAGTCGACGCCAAAGAATAAATGAATTGACCTACTAAGGCAAATTAATCAATGAATAAAACAGTGGGCCCTTTTCAAAATTAGCCAATCAAGCCCCTTTTAACCAGTAAATTTGCCCTTTCTCCCCTAACTTCCCATTCTATACAAAATAAAGACAAGTATACAATATATTTATTTGCTTAATACTATAAATTAAAATATAAATTTAATATAGTTTATATTAATGTGTCGCAACATGTCGGATCTGGTATTTTTCTAAAAAATTGACTCTCTGCTTCTTGTTGTGTCTGGCACGCTTATCCATGTCGGTGGTTCCTTGCCATTAAGCTTTTTCACTGTTGACATTAAGTGATTCAAACTTCCATTTCTAAGTTTCAAGTTGCACTGATGCTCATCATGCTATACTGTGGTAATGGTTTCGCTGTCTGAGTGCTCAGCTTTTTACCTAAGATTGATGGTTGGATATTTCGGAAAAATAGCGTGAAAAGTTCTTCTCAGAAAAACTGAATGACTGCTGTTAGTTGCTTCTGTTACTTTTGACAGAAAACAGCAAAAACTATCTTGACTGGAGTTAACCAGTTTTCTCACAATATGCTAGTATTCTTATGACAGTAAAGTTCAAATGGTGGTTTATTCTTTTCTGAATGAAGATGCTTTTTCAACTGTTGCAGGTTTATTTGCACCCAATGATTCGAGATGCACATGGACGCAAGATGTCCAAGTCATTGGGAAATGTTATTGACCCTCTTGAAGTGATTAATGGAATAACCCTTCAAGGTCTTCACAAAAGGCTGGAGGAGGGCAACTTGGATCCAAATGAATTAAAAACTGCGAAAGAGGGTCAGGTGAAGGACTTCCCTAATGGGATACCTGAATGTGGTGCAGATGCTCTACGTTTTGCCCTTGTTTCGTACACAGCTCAGGTAATAGCTTTGTGTTTCATCCTCAAAAGTTTCTCCCTTTGAGAGTGTGGTGACGTCATATCATTTTGTTTCAGTCGGATAAAATAAATCTGGACATTCAAAGGGTGGTTGGCTATCGTCAATGGTGTAACAAGCTTTGGAATGCTATAAGGTTCGCCATGAGTAAACTAGGAGACGATTACACCCCTCCAACAAAGATAGATCCTGATGTCATGCCATTTGGCTGCAAGTGGATACTATCTGTTTTGAATAAAGCCATATCAAAAACATTGTTGTCTTTAGAATCTTACGAGTTCTCTGACGCAGCAACATCAGTATACTCATGGTGGCAGTTTCAATTGTGCGATGTGTTTATTGAAGTAATCAAGCCCTATTTTGCCAGCAATGATCCAGCGTCTGCATCTGAGAGAATATCTGCACAAGATACCTTGTGGGTATGTTTGGATAATGGCTTACGGTTACTTCATCCTTTTATGCCGTTCGTCACAGAAGAACTGTGGCAGCGTCTTCCTTCTAGAAAAGATTCTATGAGGAAAGAATCAATAGTCATATGTGAATATCCATCAATTGTAGAGGTAAGATCTACGTACATTTCTATGCAGTTAAGGGAGGATAACAAACAAAAGTTGACATCATCTGTGGCATTTCGATGGAATTCCTATGCTGATTGCTATGTTCCTTGATTGAGTTTTCATTCTAGTGTTTGTCTGGCATAATTTGTTAATTTAGTTTGATTTTGAAGCGTCTTTGTTGGTTTAGCAAATGAAATTCGACACCACTTGTCTGATATATCAGTTTACTGCTTGATAACTGGATAGGCATTATTATATGGTTTTCTCTATAATCCTGTCATTTGAAAGTTGTTTATCTTTGAACACCAAAGAGAAAATAGTTCTATTTATACCCGAGATCATGAACTTCTGTATGCAAAGTGTCAATGGGGGAGTGTATGCTAGAAAGATCAAGCTAGGAGAAGTGCTTTCAGGCTCATTTGCTTTGAAAATCTCGCGAAAAAGTAAATATGAACCACAGCCTTCACCTATGTCTTGCTATGATATTATGTTGGTTGAATATTTAGGATATTGATATTAGTGAGATAACTTCCTACACTGACCCAGCCACCACCACTACCACCAAAGGAAAAATAACCCGATTTTTGGTAGTAGTGGTAAAAGAAAGATATCCCCAGTTTTGAAATTTCAGGTACTACAAACTTAAATTGAAACATTGTTAGAATTTAATCTGCTGCTCAACAATTTAATTTTGATAGACCATTAACATTCCTAATTTTGATTAGACTTCCCAACACCTGTTTTCATCCGCATTCTTAGTTTGAACGTTGAATAGGGTGCTTCACAATTCCACTTTTGCATTTTATATATATTATCTATAATCTAGTCTTTATCAAATTCTGTTTAAAACATAAGCTCAGTTGCCATCCTGTCCTTATTCCTATTTTTACAGTGCTGGACTAATGATAGCGTGGAGATGGAGATGGATATGATCGAGTCAGTGGTCAAATCTCTGCGGTCTCTTCGGTCGACTCTGGCACCAAAGGAGAGACATGAAAGGTAAAATTCATGAACTCAATGCTATGAATGTTTTGGATAATTTTGAACCTTGATGTTATGTATGGTAGGGAGGATGAAATGTTACTCAGTGTTAAAGGAAGAAGGGAAAGTTACAATCTCGTTTATTAGTGTCCGGATCTACCCTATCATACATGCTTTTGGTGTTTATCTTTTCCATAAGTTATAGATGTTTCCAGTCACACAGCAATAAGATGATCTGTACTGTAATTTGGGGCTAGACCCTGCATTCTCCTTATCTACTTTTGCCTCACTTTCCACTTGATCCGAATGGGTGATTCAGATAAGAAATACTGTGTTTCCCTAATTGCTTTATGAAGTTTTACATGGACAGTTCCAAAACCTTGGCCATGAGTGACTTGAAAAAATTTCTTCTTCCAGGCGAGCAGCTTATGTGCGTTGCCGTTTAAATGATGCTTGCAAAATCTTTAAAGACCATGAACTGGAGATTGCTACACTGGCAACATTATCGTCTCTAGAGGTATGTACTTGGATCATATTTATGGTCTATAGTTTTACAGTAATACCTTTGTTGCTGATACCTTACTGGAAAGTCGAAGTTAAGAGATAATTTTGACGTGCTCTTTCATTCTTTTACTCCTTTTTCGTGCTGTAAATGAAAGTATTGTGAAAATTTTCGACCCTGAAATTTCTCAGGTTTTAAGCGAGATCGATGATGCACCAGTGGGTTGTAAGGTAGATGTGGTCAATGAAAATCTCTCGGTATACCTCCAGCTACAAGGAAACATTAATGTAGAAGCTGAACTCCAGAAGCTGAAGAAGAAGATGGAGGAGATAGAAAAGTGAGTCGACTCAATAGTTCATCGAAAGAAAATAGTTCCATCATATTTTTATCCATTTCCGTAGTTAATAAATTGACGTATCTTTCAGGCAACGTGATAGCTTGATGAAAATAACAAGTGCATCTGGCTACCAAGAAAAAGTTCCAGCCCGCATCCGTGAAGAGAACGAGACGAAGCTTGCATCACTTCTTCAAGAGCTCTTGTCATTTGAGGAAGCTAGTGAGCAATTGGAACGTGCATCGGGAGATAAGAACTGAAATGTACTAGTAATTTTCATACTTTTGGCATTGGCACTTGGAAATATTCCCGTATTCTTCATATATACCTTAGACCTATCGAAGCACAAAGGGGATGGTCTTATTTTTCTGTATTCAATCAAGAGAAACTACCTCATTAAGTCTTTTTAAGTAGCAGAATTCTGTTTCTATCCCAGGCCAAAAGTTTTCACATTGTTGTGGCGGCTGCCGGTCCAGTTGAGTATTTTATCGTTCTCTCTTTTATTATGATATGATATGAAGTTTTAATAGAATGTCCTGATCGACAGGCTCGTTCAGAGGCCTAAGATGATAAAATACTTTTTGATCACAGAAATTGAAATATCATATGGTACAATGTTGAGATGGTAAAGAATAATGTATGAATAGCTTTTATTTAAAATCTCTATATTACTTTGTTATTTGATTCAAGAATCTTGTAAAATCACACTGGTATAGTTTTAATTAAGGAAAATTGTAGATGTCTTCATTTTTTATTCTATTTTGCACTTTTATCCCAAGTCATTGTTGAGAAAATTAAGAGAATTTAAACTGTTAATATCATTAATTAGAAACTAATTATTTCTTTTCGAAAATCAGGTTATAATTAGCTTTTATTATGTTAAATGTATTTTATTATCATTCTAGGTATTATTTTACATCCCACCCGACAAACTGATGAGTGTACACCGATCATTTAATGATTTTTCTCTGGCTTTGTTAAATATTCTAAAACACTTGTATATGTTAATTTGTTAATTATGTATCAATCGTATTTAATAATTTAGTTAATTTTATAATAAAATTTTTTAACCAACTTTATTAAATTTATCTAAAATATGATTATGTTAATTTTTATCAATCGTATTTGGAAAAAAAAAATTCATATAAATATCATTAAATAGGAAAATTTATATTTTGAATAGTGATTTTTAGGAGAATTTGTAGTTAAAAAAAAATTAGGGTTATATGTAAAATATTTTATTATGTGAATGTGTGGTTAAAAATAAATAGGTAGGAAAAACATTTTGAAAATAATGGATGTCAAACGTGGCTTAACGGGATAAAATTCAAAAGAAAAAAAGAACTGTAATGTACAGTACAGTCTGAACCTCCTCGGAATCGATCTGCCCCAGTATTGATATCCTTACTTCATTGAAACTCGCGATAAAAGTAGGTGATAAAATGAGTGTGATCGATCTATTGACTCGCGTGGATGCGATCTGCAAGAAGTACGATAAATACGACATCGAGAAACAGAAGGATTCCAACATATCTGGGGATGACGCCTTCGCCCGCCTCTATGCAGCTGTTGATTCCGACATTGAGGAGGCACTTCAGGTTTCGAAATTCTGCTTCTTCTTCTTCTTTTTTTTTTTTTTCCCCTAAAGCATTAATGGATTTTCATCTGCTTTTTGTTTATTGTGTAATCAAATTTGGAAGAAAGCGGAGACGGCTTCCAGAGAAAGTAATCGGGCATCTGCTGTTGCCATCAATGCAGAGATTCGTAGAACCAAGCCAGATTGCTTGAAGAGGTCCCCAAATTGCAGAGGCTGGCCGTTAAGAAGGATTGATTCGCTCTTCCCTTTTTTATTCTGTTTATTATGTGCTTTTTCATAGAATAATTGGTTTTTAACTATTTTTTGTAATTTTACATGCTACTGTTGATTCTGGACTACTTATGTTTTCAATAGAATTTTAGGGACGTGTAAAGTGGGTTTCTCATTTTAATTTGCTATCTTTCACTTCTTATTTTCCTTCTCATTGCTAGATTTTTTTGTTGGTGCCGGGCTTGTACGTAGGCGGCAAGATGGTTGTTTGTGTATAAAATAAATCCAAATAAGCGTAAGTAAACCACAACTATATAAATTGGAAATGTTGTACAAAACCACAAAACCAAGGTAACAAATAAAACAAAGAGGAGTAGAAAAAGAGATCAAATCTGAGGCAAGTGATTACATTTTCTCCTTGCAACTATATAAATTGGAAATGTTGTACAAAACCACAAAACCAAGGTAACAAATAAAACAAGGAGTAGAAAAAGAGATCAAATTTGAGGCAAGTGATTACATTTTCTCCTTAAGACAATATTGCCCCCCTACGGTGCTCACAGTTGACGGCACTTGTCTCCCAAGATACAATAAACTTTTAATCTTGTGGTAGTATCATTTCATACCACAAGAACCAGCGAACTTCCGACAGTATTTCCCTCTCTACATAGGAATTTTATGCAATGAAGAAGAAGAGTGCTCAATGCAAAATATGAGATCATATTTCCAAATAGGCGTCTAAGGGGTCCTACTTGTAAAGGAAGAACGGATGTGGATGAAGTGGTGAGGGTCAAATCGTGCATTCTTTCGAGTAGATGCAACATTTCAATTTTTCTAGCTTTCCGCTAGATTTTCACTGGAGTAATATTATCGAAATTCGAATAGAAACATTTTCGCTCGATTCTTGCTGAATCGTCGCTTGAGCGACGGTGTTATCTGGCCGTACACATTTTATTTTAGGGAAAATTGCAGTCGAGATACCAAACCTTTCATTTATTAGCAGACTTTGTCCAAACCTTTCATTTGTGCCACCGGAGGTACGAAACCTTTCAAAAATCAGCACCCGAAGTCCAAATGGATGGAAACCGTTAGTAAATCCGTTAGTTGACCTAGAGTCAACATTTTGACCAAATTTTGACTGCATTTTAAAGGGTAAAAATGTAACCTTAGGTTTTTATATTGAAGAATTAAAATAATTAAATTAAAAAAACCAAAAAATGAAATAAAATTAGTCATCTTCTTCCCACCCACCCGTCTTCCCCTTGCCGTCACCTAACCCCATCAAATCAACCAAAATCCAACCCACATTCACCTCCATTGCGTTGGTGACCACCAATCACCTCCATGACCATCGAGCCGAAAACGCCACCAATGCCATGGCAAATAATTTCCTCCTACATCATTGTTTCAAACAAATACACCACATCCTTACAAATTGAGCAAAATGGCAGTTATTGAAAATTTGCTATCACCAGATCCACCAGCTTAAACGACCAAAAATGCAAACACACAACAATTTCAGTGAACATTTTCCTGTCCTCTCATGCATTTCTTTCTGGTATATCCTCTATATAAGACTCCAAAATAATGGTATAAATCTTTCATTCTTTGTTGAACTCACAGATAGACATTACAGATCGATAATTATTCAGCTTATGCTCCCTACCCACAACACGAAGACTCAGTATATGCTTCTGATCATTTGCGAGATTTGCCAATCAATAATTGCATAAATTCTGTGCAAGTGGAGGGTATCGATTGGAGAATCAATGTCGGAAGGGGTTGAGCGGTGGGTTTTTGTACTCGCGTTTCTAAGTTCTTAAAACCTGTAGCGCAGAAGTGGTGAGTTGATTAACAAGATTGTACAGAATTTAAGGATAAGAACTGAAGATGACCTCATTATACAGAAATAGATAGAGAAATTTACACATTTGCAAACTGGTTTTATTGAAAACGGTGAATGGAAGAGGAAATTATTTTCCATGATGTTTTGGTGGTGATTTTCGACGATGCGGTGAGTGCCAGTGGTGGTTTCGGTTCTTGGTTTTGGCTTTGGGGGGTGGGTGTGTGCAGGATATGTGGAGAAGATGAAGTGTATTTGTGTTTTAGATTTTTATTTTAATTGTTTTTTTTTATAGAAAATATAATTTTACCATTTTTATCCTTTAAAATGCAGTAAAATTTGGTCAAAATGTTGACTCTAGGTCAACTAACGGATTTTACTAACGGTTTCCATAAATTTGGACTTCGGGTGCGAATTTTTGAAAAGTTTGGTACCTCCGGTGGCACAAATGAAAGATTTGGGCAAAGTCTGCTAATAAATGAAAGGTTCGGTACCTCGGCTACAATTTTCCCTTTATTTTATTGTTTATTTCCTCCAAATTTGGACCACAATTTCTTATTCATCCGAAATGGTTTCGAGTGTCCAAATATACTACGATGATCTACTCGACGAGTAGAACAAGTTGGTGTATTTACTTTGATAATTTGACCATCGAATCAAGTCCGAATATTCGGCCGAAATTGACACGTTAGTCACACTTTTTGATTTTTGGTTCTTATACTTTACCAATTTTTCGTTAAATTGAATCCAATTTCCAACATTTTCATTCCAAATATGAGAATTATTAGTCAATTCAAAAGTTGTGCCTGGTGAAGCTTCTTGTGGTTCGGCCTCTCTTTTCTTCTGAGCATACGGTAATTGTAAACACACACACACACACACTCTACAGAACTATAGGTTAATGGACACAATACAGCAACAAAGTGGAAGCAGTTTGTGGAATGGGCAATATGACAAAGGCTATGTATTTTCGCTTTGACGCCTTTGAGTAGTTAGAGCTTAAATGCTTTAGCATTGTGATAGAAAGCCAAGCATTTGTGTCATGGTTTCATTTATTTGCCTGTAGTAGTATTATAGTTTTTGTCATTTCTATGCTTCATTGCTTTGAGTTGAGCTTTACCTATGCAAAATGTTGATTGTTAAACTTCGGGCAAATAAGGATTTGTTTTCAGTAAATACATAACCCTTGGTTGGTTTAGCAAAAAATTAGATTTTTAATACATTTTGATAAAAGTTAATGAAATGTGTGGTTGGAAAGTTGATAAAAATTGTAGGTTCAATAAAATGTGTGGTGGAAAATGAGGTTAAGTAAAAATGAGTTTCAAGAAATGGGGGCCAAACATGGGCATAATTTAGTGCTATTGGACTTAGAGCTTGCAAATGTGAATTAAGGTTTGAATTAATTATGAGTACAAGTGATGAGTGGGGCACGGCTTTATTCAATCCCACAATAGATGGTTCAAGAAATGGTTATCACTCATGAGTCTTACCTAAACTTATCCAAGCACGATTTTTATTTGATAGGAATAGAAGAATTAAACAGTGTTCACGTGGAGCTCATTGAGTTCCCATCTTTTCTGCCGATGCTCCTCATGGTTGTTTGACAGAGAGACGAGAGCCTTTCCCTATAGAACTCTCTTTTTGTAGAATTTGAAACCAAGAACTCCTTTTCAACCGATTCCCCTTGCCTCCTTGATTCACTGGACGAGTGGGAAATGTGGAGAAGGCTTTACGAATTCCCTGTGCCCAAATAGTGACATTTGAGCTGAAAAATAATGCATGGTAGTGTAGACTTCAACAGTGGACAATCTTTAATAAAGTAGAAGTTGTTCAACTTACCATTGATATGGAATGGATGTAAAGAGTGTTGTTTCATGAATCGCAAATAATAGCGAATGAAGAGGATATTCAGAAAGAGGGAATTTCTAGAGTTTGGTTGCAGATTAATATTTTCCTGGAAGGATGTATTTTCTTGGTGATCTGCAGGGCAGGAAATGGAGGATGGTGGGTGGGAGGGTTAGAAAACTGAAACCTGGGACTAAATCAGATGAAACAACTCCTAATCCAATTATGCAAATTGTTTGGAAGTAGAGATTTTCAAATAATAATAAAAATAAATGAATAAAAAATTACAAGACTATATTTTTCCCACTAAAGCAAGCCTTTAACCGGTAATACTGTGATCATCAAATCCTTGGAAATCCACCAAGTTTGTTTTACTTCTAAATTGAGAAAAGACCCTGTGAGTTACTTCATCTTCTCGTGCATTATCATCTCATTCGTTACTTTGGTTGTTGACGCTTTTTATTAAAAAGTTGATAAACCGAAATCTATAAACATTTTATAAATTGTTCCTTGTATGGAAATAGCAACACTTGAAGGAATCTATTTATTTGATGACTTACTTCACCGAGAAGGTTTGCTTCCTGGCTTCCTGTAGACACATATAACTTTTTGTGCTTTTCATGTAACAATGTATTAACTATTAATCACTTTTTTGAGAATGAGATATTTGATGGTGCAAAGTGTCTTATGGAAATGATAAAGAAAGAGAACTGCACCACTCTTTCTTTTTTTGCATTGTGTAGCAAGTGAAATCATAATTTATTTCTTCTTTGAACTTTATGCTATGGAAGTAGATTTTAGTGTAACATTTTCTTGAATGAAATCCTGGGAAGAGTATGCCAATTATATTCTCAACCAGTAAAGGGTGTAGGATGGTTGAGTTTGGGGAAAATTTTAAAGCCAAGCAATGCTGAGAGTTCAGTGAATAGTTTCGTATTTCGAGATTACTTGTTGACAGGTCAGTGTATAGTTTTATTCTAGAGGCTGTTTGTTACAGGATGGTGCTTTTGCTTGGTATTTTGAGATAACTTGTTGATTGACTAAGGCGTTTCAGCTTGCTCCATTGTCAATGAATAGATGGAGTAAGCATGTTGCTCGATTGAATTTGTATCTACTGATGCCTCTTCTGCTCCCCTGTACTCTTTGAATTGTGATGAAACTCTTTCCAGCGTGCAGTCAATTTGAAATATCTGGTTTTTCTTGTCATGAATGTTAGCTATGTTGTTTCTACGTGCGTGGTCCTAAATGAGTAATAAATTAATAATACAACCTTTTGAGTTCTCTTCTATAATGACAATTTAAATTGCAGGTTAAAGGACTTTCAGCGGAAGAACTTGCTGTGCGTAATGATATGGTACTTGCATTACCTGATAGGATTCAAGCCATACCAGATGGTGCTGCAGCTGCGCCCAAACAATCTGGGGGCTGGGGATCTTCAGCTCCTCGTACAGAAATCAAATTTGATTCAGGTTATTGATCGATACATGGTTTATTAGTTAGATCTTGTCTTACAAGTTCAATTTTTTCTGAAGAAGCTTCAGTCTATTGCTTTGTTGTTATCTGATGCATTGAACTTGAATTGTAGATGGACGGCTTGACAGTGAGTACTTTCAGCAAACTGAACGGTCAAGTCAATTCAGGCAAGAGTATGAAATGCGGAAAATGAAACAGGCATGTTCTCTAGTGAAATATTATAACTAAAAAGCATCGACACGGACACGAGTGTCGGACATGACACGATGCGTACACACGGACACACAATTTTTTAAAAAAGTATGGACACATCTCGTCCCGACACATTGATTAAAATGATATTAGTGTTTTATTTATTTATTTATTTTAATTCCATCACGTCGGCAATTTGTCCAGTCATGCAAAGCCAAAAAATAATTCAGAGAGCCACCTGGAGATCTGAACGTGCCGGTGCATTTGCCAACATCGGCGATGTGTTGCTACTAGTTCAATTATGCAAAACCAAAAATTAATTCAGACATGCCATTTGACGTTTCCGACATGTCGGTGTCGTGTGGATGTCCGACGGAAATGTGTAGGCGACATATCTAACTTTATAAATTCAAAGAATAATTTGGACACGCCACTTGATGTTTTCGACACATGTTGGTTTGCGTGTGACACCTACTCGTCGGGGTGTTGCTGCATCGAAGTAGTATAATGTAGACTTATTTGGAGATGCTTTTTGACAGTCTTTTATTATTTGTTATGGGTGAACTGTCAATATTATCTGGTCTTGTTTGTGATGTGATGTCATCTTGATGCAGGACCAAGGATTGGACATGATAACAGAAGGTTTAGATACTCTAAAAAACATGGCAAACGACATGAATGAGGTTACCTTTCTTCTGTTATATTTCCGTTTTTCGTTTTTGGCTTACTTTTTTCATCTGTTGCTCTCTGATATTCATGGATGGTAACTTCCAATGCTATGATTCATGCAGGAATTGGATAGGCAAGTTCCTCTTATGGATGAGATTGACACCAAGGTAGAGATTTTCTCATTATCTTGCAATTTTAAACATCAAGGCGGGAGTAGGTTTATTTTTTTCTTGGTGTTTTTGTCCATCAGCCGATATCTCCTTTTTTTACACTTATTTTATCTTTTATTGCAAATGCGCCATGCTAATTAATACCCATTCGTTAGTTTGACGAATATATATTTATTCATATTGTGATATGTATGTGTATGACATAAATCTTACTTCTCAACTATAGTTGTTCAAATAGATATTGCGAGAGCAAAAAGATAAGTTACTTGAACACAAAAAAGAACAAATATAAATATGTCCTATAACATGACAGGTTGTTCACTAAAAGCTCGTTTGGGAGTGATTTTTTGAAAATCATTATTCCCCTAAATCTTTTACAACCATGCATTCTATGGGATCCATAACTTTTTCCTATTTTTTAACCACACAAAAAATCATTTTCACTTTCAAAAAATTTCTCCCAAACAAGCTCTTAAACTTTCTCATCGAAGTGTTGATAGAGCTGCATTTTGTAGTGGCTTACGATGACCAAAGTACTTGCTGATGCCAAATGCATAATTTGGTCCCATCCTTGCTTTTATTAAACAGTATTCATGACATTAAAGAGAATTTTAAGCTATTATGTTACTTACAGGTGGACAAGGCAACATCTGACCTGAAGAATACCAATGTCCGACTGAAGGACACTGTTAATCAGGTGATTGAGCTGCAGCTCTTCAATTTTGATTTTCATTTATAACTTGCTGTACCTCTCAACATTCTTTGACCTTACTATATTTAATGGAGTTTTCTTTGTTCCAGCTGAGATCCAGTCGAAATTTCTGTATTGACATAATATTGCTGTGTATAATTCTGGGAATTGCAGCCTATTTGTACAAGTAAGTTCTAACTTTTGTTCTTACTCATGTGACGACCTTCAGTTAACCTTTGAATCTCCCTCTGTTTCCTGTTCATGTCAAAACCTTTTTGAACACAGTTTGTACAACACAAAGTTATCAACGAACTAAAAATTCGAATATTAAACCTATCTCAGATACATTTAGCGGTTTTGAACTCAAAAGGAATGTTATTTTTCCTTTGGTATATTTGGCTTGATGAGATCTTTTCTAATGCTTAAATAGATATTCGTTCTGATAAAGTGTTTCTTTGCAGTGCGTTGAAGAAGTAGAAGTGGTTGAAAGACTGCTTGGTGTCTGTCTCGAGACTTTGCTATTATTTCACTGATTTGAGTTGTTGCTATATGGTTCTTTGTACAATTTGTTTGATTTTCATGTTGGCAAAACTTGTTTAAAATTCTGCTTCTATTTGAAGTAGTTTTTGGTAATTTGACCCATTTTTCCTATTAATATTAGTCTAACAATGTGCCATGTTAGGCTGGAATTTTTTTCATTTAATGTTTGTAATCACCAATTCCAAGCTCATCTGGTTTGGATAAAAATTAGATTTTTAGTAAATTTTGATAAAAAGTTTATGAAATTTGTGGTTGAAAATGAGGGTTTTTTAATTTAATTTAATTTAATTTTCTTTATTTTTTTATTTTTTGAGTGGGGGGATGAGTTTTAAGAAATGAGAGTCAAACAGTTTACACTAATCCTCGTATTTTAAGGCGTGCATTGTTACATTTAAATTACATAGAACAACATAAAAACATCTTTTATGCGTATAATTCAACGTATTAATGGCCGGTACGGTAGAGTTTCAGCTTTTACAAAAGTTTTTTAGTCAAAAATTTATCCGAATATATTCAAAATTAACTTTTTATTCTTAGAAATAGCTTTTAATTTTTCAATAGTCTTGCCAATCAGGTTCTAAACATGTCATCTTAATGTATATTATTTTATTAGTTTTTTTTTTTTTTTTTTTTTGGGTAGATTTACCCTCCCTTTCTCCAATTCTATTGTGGACCACGTTTTTATATTGCACTTGAAATTTAAGGTTATAAAACTCTGTTTGGGATTCCTTTCTTGACTAGTGACATAATTAAAAACATATTATGGAACAATTATTTAGTATTCTTAATAAGCAAACATTCATGCCTTTGAAATTCATATGAATTGCTGCGTCGAAGTTAGAGCATTGGATACCATTTTATTTTATAAACGTCCAAGTGGTTAGTCCCACAAAATAAAATTGTTTACTATGGGAAAATTCTTTACCATGGCCGAATTTGCAACTTGGGATATTTGTTTAATTTTTTTATTATTACAAAGAGAAAACAGAGAAAAATTAATTGTGAATTACTCAAAAATTATTTAAAATTTTAGTAATTGTCTGGGATTCCGACCACCTGATTGATTTCCTTGATTCAAAAATCAATCTTTAGGGTTGTCTTTGATGTACACCTAAATGATATCTAATTTATATTTAGTTCTTTATTAACTATAAGGGCCTGTTTGGTACCACTCTTAAAAAGTTAAAATTTGCTTGTACGATTGAGACGATATTTTGAATATGATTAAATAATTTTCTGAAAGTACTTATAGAAAAATTTGGCCATGATAGTTTTCTAATCAAGCTCTTTTAAAAAAAAGTAAAAAATAAAAATAAAAGTCATGTCAAATGAACCCGAAATTAATTGGATAAATATATACGTATCGAATTTGGGTTATCGAATTGGTTACCTACTCTCACATGCACGCGAGCCTTGCGTGCATTTAAAAATTCTGGGGTGTGGGAGCCGCCCTCCTATTGTGTGCGTAGGCAAAAAATTCGGTAAAAAAATGAATGTACATCAAGTATTGTCCAAATTAATTAGTACTAAAACTATCTATCCTTGATTATATGCAAAAAAAAATTGCATTTCCTTTGACCCTAATTACCCGTGGTACGTAGCTAGGGTTGATAAAATACTATATAGGTACTTTGAAAATGCAAAAGTTAAACGCGTTTTAAGGATTACAATTATTTTCCGACAAATACTGAATAAAAAAACATTTGAGAAATCCTTGCAATAAGACCTCGTAATGGGAATAAATAAGGATTTTTAATTGTTAATGCACAGTGGGAAGATAAAAGATGAATCTATGCAAACGTATGGGCGCAAGTGATGTCCTATGTGGTCGGATTATGGCATATCAAAATCTCATCACATAATCTATCCTAAGGAATTATGGCTCCTTATGATATAGGGCAAAGTAGTTGTGTTTTTTTTTTTTTTTTAATTTCAATATGTTATGTTATCGAGTAGTTAACAAAAAATTGTTAGATGAGATGTTAAAGAGTTCTTCGATGAAGGCTCTCCTATTGGAAATGGCCACCTTAGGAACAAAGTGGATAAATTGACGACGAGCATTTTTTCGGTTAAATGAATAATTTTTTGATTCAATGAGTTCTTGATAGTACTTTATGTAGTAAGGTAATCGTTAATCTAGGATGAGTAGAAACTCAAAATTTGAACAATAAATTATTTATATAACATGGAGAATTATACATTTTCACCGTGTTAGCGTTGTTGGAGTGTTTATTTTAACTTCAATGGATGTTGATGGCAAAAATGACATTGCATTTTTTGATCAACTTATGAGAGTTTTGACTAGATAAAACTTGATGTGCTAGAATTTGAGCGGAGAAAAAAGCTATATTATCGGAATTAGTGTTTTAGTGCTCTCCTTTTTCTCGCCCCTCATCACTATATATAGGTTATTGGATTAGGACTTGCCGTACTAGTCATATCAAAGAAAAATGATCTAACCTTAGGATTAATTGGTAGTCTAATTAGACAACATCTTGCTTCGAACATAGGAGTTGTTAAGAGTAAAATTCGGGAAAAAGAACCGATTGTATGGGAAATACTTCAAGAAGTTATTTTTGCCATCGCTTGCTTTGATTCATCAATAAGATTGGAGTCACGATGCACCCAGGCTCGAGGAGGTGGGTCATGTTGATGTCTAGGCTTTAGGCCTGCACCCTAAACCGTTGCGTCATCTTTGTGATCGGTTAGTTTGGACGGTACTGATATCATGAAAAACATTCTTTCTATCACGTAATGATGATGTTCCTATGTAACGTCTCTCATAGTCCAACTCCAACATGTACAAGACATTGATTTGACCATCCAAATTGATTGTCTAGATCCTTCAATGGGTGGGCTTCTTCGACTGATTCAACAATTGTCCTTGACGGATTCGATGTGGATTTCATATCAGAATAACAGCTATAAAATACAAATGGTGGTATTTTATAAGTAGATTGTGTAGAATTATTTAACAGTTTCAATTCAGTGAAATTCTCTGTACTCAATTTTGCAATGAAGATCTAAAGACCTCAAAAGTGCTATGTTTTACAAAGGTTGAGGACCCCAAGTGTATTTTTCTCAAAAACTAAATGTCCTAAGAAGATTGAAGGGGGCTGGGTGAAATGGTGTTAGATAGGGTACATGTAATTAACAAGAAAGAATAAAGAATTTAAGTGTTAGAAATATCCAATTGCATGGAGCCAAAAGCAGTTACATCAATTGTATATTATTGTGTATATACTTTATGGTATAATGTGGTTGGTACAATAGTTGACATAAATTATTACCGGGAAGGACCACTTTCAAAGTCAGCTCAAATTGCAAAATTCCCTAAGATCTCCGTCACGTCCATTGCTGCATACCACAAGTTCAAGAGCTATTGAAAATTGCATTGAAAATGATTTTTCATTTTAACACCAATAATTTTAACATGGGTTTGGACCAATTTAAAAGTGCAAAACCAGGTGTGGTCACCACAACTTGACCGATTTTCAAAATATTTGGAAAACAAAAAGTAAAACTGCTAGTAGCTTGGAGAGCTAAATTCAATAATTCCCATTCCTTCAAACAAGTTGATTTATAGCACGATTCAACCCTTGATGTCTTGTATATAGATGGCTTGATCAATCTTTCGATGTCTCGTATAGCATGCAAAAATTGACATTAAATACTGGCCGGAATCTATCTACAAATACCACTTTTGTGATGGATTGCAGGCAATGTAGAACTTGGGTTTCACATCTTATCACATAGTTTATCATCTATCACATCTATTATGGGTTGTTGCTTAATCAAATCTAATTATGCAGACAAATTAAGATGTCTCGGGTTCTAAGCATCGTTGTTTAGTTTGTGACTTTACGCAGAGCAACAATAATATGCACATTAATTAATTGGTGAATTAGTCCATGGTGAATCCCACAAAAATTAAATTATATTTGTTAAATTTATGAGTTATATCATTGTTAATTATCGTAAGTTAAGCAACAATGCTTAAAGAATTATTTTTTTGATATACAATTCATTACTAAATAATACCATAACATCGTAGTTAAAAGTATATAAATTCAACAACTCCGTCCATTTTGGTTGTTGGAACTCTTTTGCAATGAATTATTTTTTACGTACGTATGAAAAAATTAATTTCATCATTAAACATTTATATGAAAATTAAAGTTTTAGCTATGAGTATTCTCACAGTTAGTTATTGTAGTTATAAATTTGATACATAAGTTTAAATGTAGCATGCTAATGATTTCTTTACTCTTTTTCATTTATATGTGTTTTTAATATTATGCAAAATTTTAATATTTTTAAAATTATTGTAGTAATTGTAAGCTATTTAATTTTTATATGACATTATGATTTCAACATTTCATGTATTAAACTTCTTTCTTTGGACAATGTAACATCTAAAAATCTATTGTTGTATTTATTCATATCCTTTACATTATTTTAAGAAGATTATGATATACTTCAATCATTAGTAGGGATGTTAAAGGAGTCAGGTCGAGTCGAGTTGGACCCACCAATGAGCCAACTTGAGCTCACTTGTGGAGTAAGCTAAGCTTCAGCTAGCTCGCTTTACCGAACCATGGCTCAATTCACCTCCCGAATTCACTCCTTTTGGTAGAATGAGCAGAATCAACTCATCAATTTTTATTTTATTTTTTTTAACTAAAATTACGTTCCCTTATTACAACAAATCAACTCACATGAGACATTCACCGTGGTTCGTCGGTGGGCAACCCGTCCAATTAACTCCCCTAATGATCAGTCGATGGCTCATTGTAGTGACTGATCAGAACATTTATTTTTTTCAATTACACATGTTATTAATTTTTTCAACTCATTTTCAACCTTATGCAACCTATTCCTTTCAGAATGTAATAATATACTCACACAAGCACGGAAGCATCTTCAATTGTGATATAAAATTAGTTGCAAATTGATATCTCTACAACTATTTTTGCATCCTCATTTTACCGTGTGAATCTAAATTCAAATTCTATTTCAATAGATAGATCTAAATTCACTTTTTGTTGCGTCGATATAAAAAAAAAAAATCTCTTCTACATTTTCTAGTCAAAAAATACAATTTTTTTTTCTTTGAATCCCTTCATCAGGGAAGTTTTCGATCAATTTTATTTTACACCGCCGTTTGAGACTTTGAGTTCCTTTGAAGCACACAGTGACATGCATAAAGTTAGACACAGGGACCCACACTGACAGTCCTGCAGTGGAAAGGTCACGGGTGGCTGATGGCTCCTCGGGAACTGCAAATCCTTTTGACAACTCTCTCAACTACACCACAGTACTGAGTACTGACCTCTGCGTATATGTTCAAATGGGGTACAACTTTTTATTATGTTGTAATCATTCTATTTCAGATTATTGTTCTATAAAGGCAAACTACTTTTTAACCTTTTTACACAAATCCTTGTAATTTTTTGAATTGAAACTTCGACACCCAGATATCTTAAAATTATCCATATTTTATTATTTTAACATTTCAAGAGAATTTTTCCCTCAACTTTTTAATGCTGAATTCTATTCCCATCTCTTTTAAAGAATGATGAACTGGCCCTGATAATAGGAATTTGTTTGTAAAACTACAAAAAAACACAGCTATACCGAAGGACAGTGGTCACAAGCAGCATACGGCCAATGCATATTTACGAATAAAAGTATTATACATTTGCATATAGAAGGTGGCCCAGCTGCTAATTCTATGGCACGCCGACTTTGAAATATATAGAGAGATAAAAGAAATAGGACGTCGAAGAGAAACCTAGCAGAGAGAGAGAGAGAGAGAGAGAGAGTATGTTCCCTCTTTAACCATCTTGGTCTTTGGTGTTTTCTTTCCAATAGAGAGATCTGTAAGAATTGTCTGAAAGTTTATTGCTTTTTTGGTTTTTGAAGAATCTGTTGTTTCTTTTGTTTTCTAGGAGTTCTTAGGTTCTGAAACCTAGTTTTTATTTTTTTTATTTTGTGTGTGTGTGTGTGTAGAAACCAAAACTCAAATGATGTCTGGTGAAGTATTTTCTGTTTCTTCAGTCAAAGCGTTCCTTCAAGAACCGGAACAAAACCCAAATCCGAAAACAGACACAAACCCTAATGTCAAGAAGAGAAGAAATCTACCAGGAACACCAGGTATACAATTTTTTTTTTTTTTTTCAATGTTTAAAGAGCAATCTTGAATCGTTATTTCTACATTCTCTAGCCTTTAGGACCTATGGTGTACATCAGTAATCTCGCTCGTTGTGTCGACCGGACACACTGACTGTAGAGGACTGCTTTGAAGATATTAGATTACTCAGCTTACTCTGAATCACCTGTCTAAAATGATCATTTGGATTTAGGGTTAACAAGATATCTTCTTGTTTCAACAGATCCAGATGCCGAAGTTATGGCTCTTTCACCAATGACACTCATGGCCACTAATAGATTTATCTGTGAAATCTGCAACAAAGGTTTCCAAAGGGAACAAAATTTGCAGCTTCACAGAAGAGGGCACAATCTCCCATGGAAGCTGAAGCAAAGATCTAACAAAGATCAAGTCAAGAAGAAGGTTTACATATGCCCAGAGAAGACCTGCGTTCACCACGACCCGGCCCGAGCACTCGGAGACCTCACCGGTATCAAGAAGCATTTCAGCAGAAAACATGGCGAGAAGAAATGGAAGTGCGAGAAATGTTCAAAGAAATATGCAGTTCATTCGGATTGGAAAGCTCATTCAAAGACTTGTGGTAGCAGAGAGTACAAGTGTGACTGTGGCACACTCTTTTCTAGGTATTTAATTCAATCTGAATCTATATTCTTTGTTTGGGAATATCAGGTAGAAATAAATGTTTATGGGTTTGTCCCAACTTTAATTAATTGCATATTTTTGAGATTTGAATTTATTGCCAGCAAATTATCAGGCAATAATTATTTGATAATCTTAACAGGAAAGATAGTTTCATCACTCACAGAGCTTTCTGTGATGCGTTGGCTGAAGATACTGCAAGAATGAACTCTATTGGAGCCAGCAATTTAAAATTCAGAAATGATCTGAACGGGAATCTGATGAACCCTCCTCCAAATTTGACTCATGGGTTATCTGGTTCTAGTGGAATTACTCATCTTAGTGGTGGCGGATTTAGGCTAGACAATGGCAGCTTATCTACTGGGAAGCCAAGATTATCACTTTGGTTGGATCTGGCAAATTCTCAACTCAATCCCATTGATATTTCATCTGTCAATTCCAATCTCATTATGCCTTCAAATTCAAGTGGATTGCCTGATATGATGCAAATGACGTCCAATAATGTTTTTGGCCAATCTTTAGTGGGAAATTATGCAAATCTTTCCTTATCAGCCTTGCCACCAACACAAGGACTAAAGGAAGAGGCAGCAAGTAGAGGGAGTACATTAATGGCGGATTCACCAACTTCTCTGTATTCTGAAAATCAAAACCAGCAAGCAAAATCTTTTGCACCCATGTCTGCAACTGCACTTCTCCAAAAGGCAGCTCAAATGGGATGTACCAAAAGCAATCCAACATTTCACGAGAACACTTTAGGAGTGATGAATTCTTTTCCTTCATCATATTCCGATTCAGTGCAAAATAGAAGTGAAATGAACCAGGGTTTAGGCAAACAACAGGAGAATTCAGCCGCGAAACCCACCGATCCTGTGATGGGAGCTTCAAATTTCACCTCTTCAACGAGCACTACAATGGATAGGCTTGATCAGTCTTTTCATCAAACAGATGGAACGCAAAGTCAGACTGCTTCACCTAACTTGAATTCGAGGTTGCATGGATTGTATCACTGTCTAACGAGAGATTTTCTTGGCATGGGAGGAGAAGGTGGAGGCCCATTCTTGCAAGAACTGGAGAATTTTGCTTTCATGAATTCCGCCATCGAACTGAATCACTTCACTTGCAATCAGTAGCAAGTATTCTTAGATTCTTCTGCCGTACAATTATTATGTAAACTATAACAGCAGATCTTAAGCACCAAACCAGTGGCAAAAAACCATCCTTTACAATTCAGTATAATCTTTTACAATTTAAAATGGATCTTTCATGCCTCAGTCGAACTCTAATAGTTACTCCCTCATAGTTTAGCGTCCATTCAGAAATTTTTTTCTTGGTTATAACTCTCAGGAAAAAAAAAAATTCTAAGTTTCCTTCGTAATTCAAAGGGAAAACAAAACTATAATATCATAAAACTAACGGATACAAGAAAGCAGGATTCATTATCACTAGTACCACAATTTAGATGTTATTTCAATTTTTCATGTTAAAAATTAGTAAATCAAATTGAATGGCAATGCATACAATCAAAATTCAACCTAAAAAAATCCTCCTCATCAGACCAAATAATATATATATATATACACCACACAATTCATTGTGTATGGATGATGAAATTTCATTGATACAGAGCCAATTCCAATAGATTTATTGGAGGGTCTCATTGGCGTGCATCCTCGTACATGGTGAATAACCAAATTCCAATTGAAATGAAATCTTTAGGATAAATCAATGCAATTTAGGAGAAATCAATGAAAAGACATCAATTCAAATCCTGGATTTTCGAATTGAGAGAGATCAAGAATTCTCACTATTTTTTAGATTCATGGACCCAATTCAATTCAGTGGGATATAAACATGTAATTTCTAAATTCCAATTATAAATCATTGACAATAATCTATAAATAAAAAAAAAATCAAAATTTAACTTTCTTGGCACAACCTTGTTTCGGGTTTGGCTTGTTGCCACTCGGATTGTTTCCTTTTTATATCTTGGTTTTTTGGGTAACCTCTTGATGAATACTCTACAACTAGGCTATGGAATTTTCGCATTAAAAGAGAACTAAGCAAAATTATAGTTTAAGATTTAATTATTATTAATCAGATCGCTAAAAAAAAAAATTTGAAAAATAAGATGTTAATTTAATTATACTTTTTAAATATAAATTTTATATCTGTATTATTAAATAACATAAATTTAGTAAGTAAATTTCATTTTAAAGGTTAATACATCATTGTCACATAACGAAAATTTCAGGTCACTATTCTAGTCACAATCATACAATGTAATGATAATATTTGCATGGAATAACAATTTTCAAAATATGTATTAGATCATACTCTTAAAATCTATATGCAAACTTGATATTATAGATTGCCATTACAATCACATAAACGTATCGTGTCACGATCACAATTTTCACACAAAATGAAAATATTGAGGCCATGCATGTGACCCAAACAATTGTTCAATCATGTGCTTCAACGATAGATGAAAAAATCTGAAAATGTGGCGAATTATGCAAGAGAAATTGTGGGTAAGGAGAAAACAGTTATTTTGGAGAAAATCACGTTTGGAATTTGTGACCAATTCTTCATATATTCTGGATAATCAAGCCATGAAGGGTTCGGAATTCTATTTTCTATTTTGAAATTTGTGACAACAATTGGAAGAAGAGAACTGATTGCCTTTTAGTAAATGATGAGATGGGAGAGAATAGTAATTCATTAGCTTTTATTCATTGTCAATTTAAATTAATATATTTACGATCGCTGAAAAAGAATTAGCCAGCCTCTTCAAGAAAGCTTTGCTTAGTAAGCTCTGCCTCCTCACTCGAACAATGTTTTGAACACGAAAATGTGCAATTTTACTCCCTTATCGCATGCCAAGTCACAGGCAACGCCTGGAAATAGGCTGGCCCAACTTAAATGAGATATAATAACTTTTGGACACCGCTATTTCCATCCACATTTTTTATAAGTACATCCCACTCTAAATTCATCCCTAATAAAATTTTGAATTTTTAAAAAAATACTATTTGCATCCACGTTATATTCCAATCTCATCCTTACTAAATTCATTCATTTAAATAACATATATCCACATAATTTTTTTTAAAAAAAAAAAAATACTATTTGCATCCACGTTATTTTCATCATTTTTTTTCATCTCCTTGAGTTTTTGGATGCTTGAGAAAGAACTTCACCTCCGGAATGAGGAGCCCGAATATGGTCGTCGATCTGCAAAAGCACATAAACAACATTTGGAGAATATAAGGAAAATAAAGAAATTGGAAGCAGAGCGGCAAGTTCTTTTGCTCCTTCAGAAGCGAGTTACACACTATCAGATTCCATAGAGGATATGTGTCGGAATAATATGATTTCAACAACCGGGGAACTTGCTCCAGTGGAGAAAAATGAGTTCAGTGATATGGACCCCAAACTTCAAACAAGAAACCCATCCTTTAGAAAGCCTAGCGATTGGCTTTAGAAAGTCGTGGAAGTAATCTTGGAAGAAACCCATATTTTAGGAAGAAGTCTGACTGAACTTTTTGGAGACATTAGAATGGCTATGCACAGCATGAATCACCGGTCAAACTCCATTAATTCTGAACGGTCTAAATTGCTTCCAATTAGTGGCTACATCACTTGTAAATTTGCCACATCACTAAGAACAGGTTCAGAACAAGAAACCATGGGAACCTCGGTGGAAGAAACAACCTCCGAATTTAACTAATCTGATCTCAACAGATCTATGCAGAAATTATGGAGCTGATTTCACTGTTTCATCCACCATGTGCAGATAACTCTAATATGCCTTGCAACTTGTTGGTCACAGATTGCAGTGCATCATCATGCAAGCAGTCTTCAACAGCAGCTGACTACATTATTCACATTTTCCGATGGAAGAGTTGTGAACTTAATGTTGTTCTACAGCAATTCTTATGTGCATGTAGTTATTTTCATCCAATGAAAAGTAAAAGTTAGTGGATTAATTTAGAATTTTGTATTTTTATTTAATTTTGTTTATGTCTATTTAAGTAAATTTACATAGAATTTAAAATATAATAAAAACTTATTTTTAAAAGTGGATATTCTTATAAAAAGTGTGGATGAAAATAGCAGTACCCTAACTTTTTTTATGGTCCAACATTACTTTCAATACGTTTTATTCATTTTGTTCCGGATTGTAATAATGAAAAATATAATTTCAGAAGCAAAAGATCATGTCATGATGAATATTGCGATATATTGGTGATGAATATATAATGTAACTTGAGTAATAAAGTTTGAAAGATAATATTGAATTATGTATAATTTTTGAAAGAATTCTACAAGTTTGATATTTTTAAAATTGTCTTAAATATGATAATTATGATTTATTTTTATTTTTTTGGCTCCATTACATGTGTATGCTTTAAATAATGGATGCAAATACCCAAGCATTGTTTCAAAAACTAGACACAACCAGTTGGGCCCGAAAAACTGAAAACGGGTATGCTATAGACTAGTTTGGGCTTTTGAGCAGGCGCCAATAGTCATGCTTGAGGTGTTATATTATCCATAGCCCAAACATTTCGTTTAGAGGAAATTAGGCTCGGTGCTTTAAAAAGTAAACAAATTAGACCCTATTTGATAGCAATTTTTTACTCTAAAAAATTAATTTTTTGATTGTTATTTCACTATTTTGATTGTCATTTTTTTATTTCTTCACGTATAGATATGATCCACTTTTCTCTTTAAGAGTTCAAAAATTAATTCTCGTAATCACTATCGATCAAACCCTAGATTAATGCACTAAAATAAACTAAACCTCCCATAGCCGTAATTCATACTCATAACAAAACCCTTCTCCTTTTTTGGCCACCGCTCCATATCAATTCAGATTCAATCACGGAAAGTTACCCACAATTTCACCATAACAATAGTACGATGGCCGATAAGAAGGATATTCAACAGCCAAATATTGAAAGCAAAGACGGCGAGATAGAGAAGGGATTAGAAAAGGTCAAATAGTTGGCTGAGGAGCCGTTGCCGGGGAACTGTTGTGAAAGCGGATGGCGTATGTAGGACTTCTATTACGAGGAGCTCGCTAAATACAGCAGGCTTTACAATTCTAGTTCACTTTGTTTCACCTATATTTATGTGCAATTCCTCAGCTATTTCCCTACACATTTGACGCTCCTATGATGGTAACTTGGACCTATGTTCATCTCTGATGTGCTTTTCGGGCAAAAATTAGAAAAATGAGAAGTATCAGAAGCTAGAAAAAATTGTACAAAGAGAATAGGAAGATTTAGGAGCTAAAAAAAATTGTACAAAAATTAGCTTAATGTGAGTTTTGCTCTGCTTTGGGCTTCTCATTCTCTTTCAGAATTGGGCGGGGCGAGGGGGGGGCGCAATAATTGGACAAAAGGAACTCATAAGAGGATTTGAGTTTACTGTTCGTAACCCCTTTCAGGCTCTTTGTTCTTCCACCGGCGATTCTGGAATCATAACGCCACCCATCGAGGCTACAATTCCAAATTTCTAATTGGGAAAATTTCATAACTAAAAAATTAATTATGGTACAATTCAAAAACAAGAAAACAAGTTTCAAATTTCTAAAATCAGATTTTTATTAAAAATTATTTATAATTTAATTAGTTAATTAATTATTTTATTAATTAAATATATTTAGGTCACGAATCTATACAATTTGGTCATCGCAACTCAATAAATTATAAGTCACAAACATAAATTTTATAGGTCACATATTATTTTTCGATCACGAATCAATAAATTATAAATTACAAACACAAATTTATAGGTCACATAGTATTTTTAGATCACGAATCAAAAACATTATAGTTCACAGATTAATTTTTCGGTCACAACTCAATAAATTATAAGTCACAAACACAAATTTTATAGATCACATATTATTTTTCGATCACGAATCAAAAGTTTTATAGGTCATAGATTAATTTTTCGATCACAACTCAATAAATTATGAGTCACAAACACAAATTTTATAGGTCACAGATTAATTTTTCGGTCACAACTCAATAAATTATGAGTCACAAACACAAATTTTATAGGTCACAGATTAATTTTTCGGTCACAACTCAATAAATTATGAGTCACAAACACAAATTTTATAGGTCACAGATTAATTTTTCGGTCACAACTCAATAAATTATGAGTCACAAACACAAATTTTATAGGTCCCATATTATTTATTTATTACAAATTAACCAATTATTGGCCACATTCAACTTATTAGTTGGTCACAACA